TTCGTTACGGTCTGCCAAAAGCTAATTCGCCCAGCGTTGTCTTCCAAAAGCCCATCTCCATTGTGGGTCAGTCCATTGACGATGGTGAATTCGACTTCAACTCGCCGAACAACCTGGCCGTAATTATTCCCGCCGCCATTGTCAGCATTTGGGTATTTTTCCTGTTAGTGATTGCCATCGCAGTCTTCTTTCGCCGCAGGTAAAATGTTTGCATTTCAGCTAGAATCACAATTCGTTCTTCCTAGGTATGCAAAGAAGCACGAAAGAAAAGACTACGATATCGACTTTGGCGCTCATCGATCGTCAGGCAGTCAGCCATACGGTACGTGTCATAAATATTTAGCTCATTCAGGTATAATGAAAAACATAAGTTTTTTTCATAAACAGGGTGACAAAGTAAACCCGAAGACATGTTAGTGTACATGATCAGTTTGTGGATCGTGACTTTTGTTAGTGATTCTTTTCATAGGCTTTTGAAATACTGAAATATTCGAACAGGGAGTCATGTGCTACGCCAGCTCAATAGTTATACGTTTCATACACAATAAGTGATATTTTAACGTTTGCCATTGCCGTGGTCATGAAATACACAACGCAACAATTTTAAACGCAACTGCTGCGAAAAACACAGCACTGTTTGATTGACATTACAGAATATCGCAGGTTCATCATGCTATGATTATCACTATCATCCAAAATTAACAGACTTTCAATCGCCAAGTTTAACATACCAACAGTGATTGACTTGTCAGGAATGGTGCCTCGGATTTACAGTATAAATTTATCGCGGATAAGTGATTTGATACGGTAACTGCCTTAATGTTCGAGATCAACCTCTCAATGGTTCAGAACAGCTATCTCCGATGTAGGGTCGTACGCCGCGTAGTGACAGCTCGTGCGTAATGCCAAGAACAAAAGAGGGCTGGCGCAAACCACTGGCCCTCAAACCAATTACAAGTTAAATCTAGGGTAACGCAGCAATAACGCGAAAGGCGTGTAACTACGCCGCGAATTCCGGCAGCACCTAATCGACGAAGTTTCAACGATCCATTTCATGTCCACTAGTTGGCTACTGTATTGTCGCAGGTGTCTTTGATCGGTGGCAGCTAGATGATTACTGTTCTCTACTAACGACTTCCTTAAATCGAACTACTTGCCAATCCTCGTTGCCCCAACGACACAGACCGTTCACGAACAGATACAGAACTATGACAAACACAACAAGCAGTACCAACATTGCTATTATTGGAGGCAAAAACAATTCATTGCCACAAAGCAAGCTAATTCTGACTACGACATTTAATCTTGATATATCAGGCATAGACCTCTAAGTTCTTCGCGCTCTTACATTAGATAACTGATAGTCAGCGCTTATTCATTGGTGACTCAGCAAAATCACTGAATCTTAGAGGTACTTAACCGACGGCATTACTGGAGCCCCTGCATTCTGTTTATAACCGTCGAGAATACCGTTCTTTCGATGATGGTCAGGTTGGTTTTGTTCATAACAGTATCTTCTTTCGATACTTCTCATAGATTTCTAAAGTTCGCCTATGCCAACCCAGTAACCAAGCTCAGTAAAATTATCACCGGTTACAGCTCCTCTGCTTAAAATGATACATTTCTACACCCATGACATTCCTTTATATCCTTAGCTGTCATGTTTCTGTGATCGATGCTTTCTTGCTTTACTTTTGGTCTCTTCTCCATTCCGTATCGCCTCTGGCTGTGATGAACGCAGAAAATATTTTTTGGACGCATTTCACCAAATTCTTGAATTCAAGATTCTATAGAAGTACTGTCTGACCGTTGAACGCTCTATTTTCATACCTTGCATGGATACTGCGGTAGTCAGACTGATGAATTGCGCCGCAACGTTTGCAATATTGCGTCTGGTCGATTTAGACCATTTGAGCTTGCTACGGCTACAGCGGATCGGCACGTCAATCAATCAATCAGGTTCTTTCATTTAGCCAGCGGTATTTATCGTTTTTTTACAAAATGAACTCAACATGTTTCGAACGTACACCGCATTGAAAATATGTTCACTCTCAATGCCTCCAAATCGACTATCTACAATCAACTTTTTCTTAACTACCGACTGCTTGAGAATCCTTTCAGGAAATGGCAACCTTTAACTAACCATACAACTCTGTGAGAGTGAGAATTATCTTAAGCTGACTCGGTATTTGTGTTTCCGGATATCAACAGCTGCTTTCATAAACTTTTTGTGCAACCGGCAATCAGAGTCATTTGGTAGCGATTGTCAGATCAGACTTCTCTATTAGTTGTTACCGCTATTCAATGTTCTATTTTGTCCACGGCGGTAATTTTGTCTACTTTGTCAAATCTGTCTTTAACTGATGAAATAAATGACGGATGATAAAAAACACCGACCTTAAACGCGCTTGTTTCCAGCGAACGGCTCCTATTCTACCAGTCAGAGTTTGTAACAAATTTCAGAAACTTTTTGTTCTCATCGTCCGATCACTGAGCTCATACGCCATGACAGAATCTAGAACTTAGATATTCGGGTAAGTCTTGGTGAATAGCTGCTGCTTTCCCAGATTGAGAAGTCACAGCAGCGATTGTTTGATTTGCAGTATTTCCAGAAAGGACTTCGAGACGGTTATTACTTGCTCGACAGACCTACCGAAGACCCCAGCACAATCAAGAATGGCCTAGGGCAAGTTTCTCAATAATCTTTGGAATAGGATTGTTTTTTGCTCAAGTTCAGACACAGGTGCAAGATCGAGAATATTGGAGGTACCATATTTACCATTCGAAAGGGTAAGCGGCAATTTAAATAATAGACAGAGAGAGACACTGATTGAGTGACTGGTTGGCTGGCTGGCTTCATCTATGTTGTAGCCAAAGTTCTGTGATTGTTAGATTCGCGTTAAGTGCGACAATAGACATAGTTCGAACCTTAGCGTGCATCCATTGCAAAGTAGAGGTACCCTTCATTCATTAGTTTTGTTTACTTTGTGGAGACTGTGGCGCTGTTGACGTATACTTTACAATTATGATTCCAAACCGTATAATAGAGTCTCAGCCTGCATAATATTTTTTACGTCTGATCATTGAAACATTTTACACTTAGAAAAATTTCTTTTGCAGTATCAATAAAACATTCTTCATAAATAACAGGACTCCGCTTGGTTTATCCATTCACCTCTGCGCTCTTCACACATGCAGAATTTTCGTCGAGCGTGTCTGTGTTGCAAAGTCAGCAGCTCTCAAGCCAGTGGGACC